CCACAGTCCAGCAAGGGGCATGACAAGATGACCAGGCGAGGCTGTGTATGCTGCTTATAGGATCATTGCACTAAGCAAGTTCTACCTGAGTTCAGAGGATGGAAGGTTTTCTTTTGGCAGTGGGCCAGAAAGGAGGAGCCTCACGATGTGGGAAGAACTCAGGACCAGATTTTCTGGTCTGCCACCAATGCTGTGTGACTTTGGGAAGGGAATCCTGTGTTCTCATCTGTAAAGTGTAATTTAGACAAGGGGCTCCCCGTGAGGTCCACCCTGGTTCTGTCTGTCTTGTTCTGGGAAGGGAAAGCTAGAGTTATCTCCCTCCCCCCAACACTTTCACTTTAAACTCAGGGCAGGGGCCATTTGAAAGGCTGATCAATTTATGAACTCTCAAGGATAGCAGAGGTCTGTTCCAGGGAGGGAGGCCTGAGGGGCCTAACCCAGTGATAGAAAGAATTTTGGATGTCATGGCATAACGTGACATAAAAGAGATCCTGTCATCTGTGACCCAGCCTCACAAAATAACAAGGGAAGAAAGGGAGAGAAAGAAAAATGGGGGAAAAAGAAAAAGGAAGGAAACAAGGGGTAGAGAAGAGAACAAAAAGAGAAGAAAAGGAAACAGGAGTGGGCAGAATTGATGAGGAACAGAGGGACCCTTTGGAGGTCAGGGACCTAGTGGCTTCAGGATAGATTATGATTCCTTCCTAATTCACACACAGAAGGTACAGGACTTGCACATTCCCGCGGTGGAGAACAGCACTAGTAGCCATTGGGCCCAAGCAGGGGAAGCTGGAGCAGCAGTGGAGGTCTTCTCAGAAGGCCCAGGAGAAACCATTCATCTGAGATGATGCAACTGCGGGCAAATGTTACCAGCCTCTGGCTCAGGCTGGGTGGCTGCTCTGGGCAGGAGCTGGGACCCTGGAGTCCCGACTCTGTTCCCCCAACTCACAACTGAAAAGGACCTAGAGAAACCAGGAGGAAAGAAGAAAAACACTGAGAGAAGAGGGCACATCTGGAAAAGATTGGCTAGGGGGAGGAAACTGAGGAAAAAAGCATTGCTACTAGGCTGAAGGAGGAGAGGGAGATGAGCGCAGTGGAGCAGGGGGAGAGGGGAGGAAGGCCAGGCGGGCGTGGCCAGGAGGGGAGTAGGCCCAGTACTGGTGGTGACAGATGGGTGGACACAAAGAGGAGAGCTTCGGGGAAGACAGATGGATGGGGGAGGGAGGAGAAGAGGCTGGGGGTGGGGGCGGACCCTAATGAGATTGGAGATGGGCTCTGCCTAAGGAGAGGTGAGTGTGGAAGGAGAGAGCGAGGCCTTAGGAGACAAAGGCAGAAAGCCTAGGGGGCCAGGGCGCAGGGAAGGGGGGCTCCCTCTCACCCTGGGCTGGCAGCGAAGAGAGTGACAGATTGTGTAGTTAGCCAGAGTGCAGACCCGCTGTCACCTTCTAGGAGCACAGAGACAGACTGACAGAGACACATGCAAACGGACCAGGAGAGAAACTCAGAGATGAAGATGCTCCAATACGCACCAAGATGCCACTTTCCAAAAACATCTCCTACCCAGGCTCCTCCTGCCTGCATTGCTTCTGTGACCCCAACATGGCCAGCCTCTGACAAAATAGCTGCTGGGCCACTCCCGGGGAAGGGTCAGGCAGTGTGGCACAGTGAGGGTTAACACCGTCTGCTCTCCCTGCCAGCCGCCTGCCTGGTTGGGTCCCCAGGGTTCCCTACATATGTCACCCCCTCTCTTGCCAAACCCACTGCTTCCCAGCTCCTCCAGGCCCTCCCACACCCTCAAGGACTGGGCCCAGCCCCTGTGTCTTCCCTACCCATCAAACTCCCTCCATCAGCTACCTACCTCCCTGGCTGGTGGGGGATAGACATTTGTGAATCACGATCTAAAATAGTGAATGCCTATGAAACATAAAATCACGAAGACATATTCATTCTCCCATCCTCAAGCCCTGTTCCTCCAGTCCTCCTTATAGCAAAGTCCCTCTGCCCCAGGGTTCTCCTTGCCCACTGAGGCCCAGGTATGCAGGCAACCTAAGCTGACCTCAGAGGTCTCCCCAGCTTCCCTCAATCCTAATGCCTCAGATGCAACACATGGCTGAAATATCTTGCCACCTTTACATCATTACACAAATGTGAGGGACTCACTATGAGCACTGTGCACTTTTCCCAGGACGTTCTCATACATGATTTCCCCAGGATGTTACAGCAGGCCTGGGAGAAGGTCACATTATCCCCATGTCACAGATACCAAAGTAAAAGCCAGCTCAGTGACTTGTCCAAGGTTCCTACACCTTGGACTCTAACTGACCTCAAGCTCAGTAGATGTACTAGACCTTTCCACCATATCATGATTTTAGCTCTTCTTTATCACATGAATAGGCTCATCTCAGCTACTCCCCTAAGGAGCAAAAGTTGAATCCCTTTGGGCAGTGTGGAGCTGGAGGCCCCAGAGTCCAGGATGCTGGGATGACAGATGCAGGGGGACAGACATGTTCCCCAGAGCACTTGTTCCCTCAAATCCACCATCGAACCTCAGTGTGCACAGGGACATCTCAGGCTCGATGCTTCAGGGATGGAGGTGGAAGGGTTAAAGCACCTTATATAAAGTCTACAATGAGGGGAGTTTGACACCTTCCCCACTTCTCCACCCATACTGACCCTTCGGCTCCTTTCTGCTTCAAGGGTCTCTCTAGGTTCTGCTAATGTTGTCTTCAGCATCTTACCCTCAGGACCTGGCCCCCATCTCAGTAACAGTCCCTCACCTTGTCCTTCTATCTATCATGTCTCCCCACCGCCTCTCTGTGTCACCCATGGTTTTTGTTTCCTCATAACTGTCTACTCTCTGCTTCTCCCATGTATCTGTGTCTTCCTTCTGTCTTTGGGGCTCCCTCAGATTCTGTCTCCCGGTGTCAGTGTCTCCCCATCACAACGAGCTGTTTTCTCCATGTCTGCATTCAGCCCACTCTCTGCCTCCTAATTGTTTCCTTTCTCTTTTCAGATCTCCACCCAGTTTCTGTCTTCCTCCATCCCTTTTATCTGAGTGTCCCCCATCTTTCCTTTTTATCTATCTCCCTTATGCCACCGTCTCCGACTGCCACTTCCCATGTTTGTGGCCCCTATGTATCTGTTCCCTAATGACTCTGGTTTTGCACCTCTTAAAATCTCTCCATGGCTCTTCATGTCCCCTTCATCATTTCCCTGTGCTTCCCCTGTTTCTCTCTCCAACTCTCATTCTTTCTGCAGCTCTCATCTCCCCCATGGCACTCTCTCCTGAGTCTCTCGTTCTCCCAATTTCTGGATGGGTTGGAGGGCAGGAGGATGGGGGAGGTAGAATTGTTGTTGCTGGGGGCTCATTAGGTGGAGATTGGTTTTTAATCAGCACCATGGCAATGATGATGCAAGAACTGAGATGCCACCTGATCCCCTGCCCCCCCCAGCCCCCCTCCTCAAGCCTCCTTTCCCCTCTAGCTCAGCCCATCTGCTGGCGCCTGGGCACCTGTCTGGGCCTGCCCAGGTGGGAGTTGGCACCTCCCAGATCTGGGGATGGGGAGAGGAGTGGGAGCTTGGGGAGGAATTACAGAACTCCCCTTAGGGAATACCTCACTCTGGAGGAAGCCCAAGAAAGGTTGATCAGCCACAGGGAAGCAACACATCTCTCCCACAGCCTGCAGGTGGGCTGTGCTCCTACTAAGGTCTAAGCTCATTACAGGCATCAGTATGCCTAACCACCATGGCAACCTCAGAAGCCCATTTTACAGAAAAAGACATTGAGGCCTGAGAGGCTGCTACTTGTCCAAGGCCACATGGCTGACAGCCTTTTGCACTGCACCACCAGTCCTCTCGGGTCCTCTCTAGTCATGGCTCATGTCAGATACTCACGAAGGTTCAATGAAGACCTTCAGCAGCTGAGCAGGAAGGAAACTTTCCTTATGGAAAGCCCAGCGTCGTGCCCCCTCTCCAGTCCTGCCACCCTCACACAGACTCTGGTGCACACATGCACACGCACAACTGGGCTCCTGGTGTGATCTCAACCAGTGCTCATTTGAACATAATTTTGTATTTCCTTTTCTTGCTCGCTTGATAGCCCATATACTCAAGGCCTTCCCAGGCAGCTTGTCCTTCTCTCCAGGCCCTTCCCATCTTGGCCTTTCCTCTCGGGGTATGCCTCTCTTGTCTCCATTTAGCCCTTACCTCTTTTCTTCCAAAGAGCCCCTAATTCTGAATGAATGGTTCAGGTTGGGCTGCTCAGCCTGGAAAAACTCCATGTGGAGGGGTCTGTATACAGAATCTGACCCCGTTCCTGGCCTGTGATAGGTTGGTGAGATGATGGGGCAGAAGGAGAGGGTGTGGGGTGACTGAGTTTCAGGGCAATGACTGTGGAAGCCTGAACAGTAGCCAGAGGCAGCCTGGCAAGCAGTGGGCACCAGTTTTATAAAGGACGGATGAGAGCTTAGTTAGGGTGAGGACTCTTGGGTTGTGTTTTGCTTTTTAGGACTGCCCACTTGCTCTTTCCTCAGTTTTCCTGTTAGTGCCTTGGGAAGCTTTCATTCCAGGGAAAAAGGGAGCTGAGGAAGGGTCTGGGTCAAAGTCACACAGGGGCTCTGAATGGGACCGTGGCACTTAAAATGATCTTGCTAGGAGCCTCTGCCCTGCCGCCTCTGGTGTGGGAGGCTGAGGGGCTTTGCCTATGGTCCTGCCCTGGCTCTCGCTCCAGCCCCACCCCTTCCCCAGCTCTCCATTTCTTGCTTATGAAATATGCATGGAGAACAGATGTCCCTGCTCCCCCACTCCCCGCCCCCCCCAGGGCCAGCCCCCGCCCCCAATTCCCGGGGGGTTCCCAGATCCCTCTGCCAATGGCTGCCTGGCCTCCCTGTTTAATATTGATGAGGGGGGTGCCTGGGCCAGCCAATGAAGAGCTGGGGGTGTGTGTATGTATCTCCATATATATATTCATAGGGCTGGGCCAGCTCAGGTGTGTATGTCTGTGAGTGTGGGTGGCCCCAGTACCTGGCCAAACTCACTCCCCCCACCTGGCTCCCCTTCATCATGTGTACCCCTGTCTTCTGCCCTGGAACCTGGACAACCATGTCAAGCTGCCCCCGAGAGCTCTAGGAAGCAGATCACTAACTTTGCAGCCGGATGAACCCTGAGCAGCCAGAGGAGACCAGGCTCTCAACACTGCCCCTTGTCCTGCCTTACCAGCTTGGATCCTTTGACAGGATCCTCCTAGGTAAAGGGGGGAAACCATGGGCCGGGGAAGGGTCCTTGTGTCCCTCCCTTTGCTTCACTAGAGCCCCTCTCAAAGCGGCACTCAACTTCTCTCTCTGTTGCTCGCTCCATCTCTGCCTCTCCCTCTTCCCCACTTCTCTTGAGTCGCGCTTTGTGCCTATCTCTCGTGCATCGATGGATCAGGTTGCAGTTGGCAGAAGTATGGTGGGAAATCCTACTGTGGATGTTTGGAATTGCTGCTCCACTGGTGCTTGCAGCCTGGAACTTTGAGACCAGAAGTGGATTTGAGGGTGAGGACATGATGGGAAAATAGAAGCTACCACCAGGACTGGAGCTGGAGAGGACAGTGAGGCCAGGTAGAGCGGGGAGGGGGCTGGACGGGGAGGGCACAGAGAATGGAAGCAGGGAAACTGGGCAGAGAAGAGGAGCAGGCTCTGGTGGAGACGTCAGGAAACCCATTGCTGAACTCTCGGTTCCAACCTGGGCGTGGGAGTGGGGAGTGTCCCTGGAGATGCCCACTCACCATTGCCATCCTACCTCTTTCCTTTGGGTCCAGAACATAGAGTATGTTTCCTAACCTCAGCATTAGCCACCATCTGTTTTGTGTTCTGGTTTTGCGTGTATCGGTCTTCCCCACCATCAGATGTTGATGACTTTGTCCCTCACTAGAGCTTACTAACTATTTTCTTGACTTGATTTGAGCCTATCTTCTGTGTGGTGGAGTAGGGCAGGGCTTGGTGGGTGCTGGCCCCTGGAGAGTGTTCGTCAGACTGAGAGCTAGAGCTGGGAAGGAAGGAGAGATGGTGGGTGACTGTGAAGGAGCCTCTGTGCCCCTGCGTCTGACTACTGAGGCTGAGGTCATAGTGATTGACCTGTTGTCCCTGTCCCCCCTCTTCCCAGGCAAAGCCCTTTCCCCAGCTTCTCCCAGACTATGTTCCTGCTTCCTTGCTTGATTTGCTCTGGTCATGGTACAAACAAACCCTAGCCATGCCCCATAAAGGTAGCACTAAGAAGTCTGTGCTCTCCCTGCTGGTCACATCTGAACCACCTTGGGCTATGGAAGAGTGTGGGGTGGAAGGCTGATTATGTTCACTTTCTCAAGTCTTTTCAGAGTCTCCAAAGGGCCAGGGAAATAGCAAAGGCTGAAAGTCCTAAGGATGGAGCTGGAGGAAGGCGTGGTCTGGGTGGGTGGGCTGCGGTGAAAGGAGATGTCATCCTTTCTCTGGTTCTAGGTGCTAGGACTTTCCTTCCTCTGGTCAGGGTGCTAGGACCTGATGCTACGGAGGCTGTTGGGGAAGTTTGGGGACTGGGAGTAACTGGACTAGAACAGCTGTGCTCAGGATGCACAGGATGCAGGGCCAAGGCTCGCAATTCTTCCTTGACAACTGGGAAAGTGTCATAGCCGAGCTGGACTCTAGTCCTGCTCAACCCCCCTATTGTGAATGTATTATCATGGTTAAAAACCCATAAAATATGTCATCTCAATCATTTGTAAGTGCACAGCTCAGTTGTGTAAGGTCTGATCGTGTTATTGTGAAACGGGTCTCCAAAACTTTTTCATCTTGCTAATGTGAAACTCTATACTCATTACAATCTCCCCACTCCACCATCCTCCAGCCCCAGCAATCACCATTCCAATTTGTTTCTATGAATTAGATTACATTAGACACCTCACATAAGTGGAGTCACTGGCTTAATTCATTTAGTGGAATATCCTGAGTTCATCTGTGTTGCAGCACATGACAGCAAGTCCTTTCTTTTTAAAGCTGACGGACATCTGGTTTATGTATAACCCACATTTTGTTTACCCATCCACCCACTGATGAACATCTGAGTTGTTTCTACCTCTCAGCTGTTGTGAGTAGTGTTGCAGTGAGCATGGGAGTGCAATCTCTCTTTGAAGCCCTGTTTTATTTCAGTGTATATCTAGAGATGGGAGTGCTGGATCATATGATAATGTCATTTTTTAACTTTGTGAGGACTTTGCTACGATGTTTTCATGGCAGTTGCACCATTTTACAATCCTATCAACAGGACAGAAGTTTTTCCATTTCTTTGCATCCTTGGCAACATGGATTTTGTTCCAGGTTTATTTGTTGTTTTATTGCAGTCATCCTTAATGGGGCTGAGGTGCTATCTCATTGTGTTTTGATTTTTCATTTCTAGTGATTAGTGGCGTTCAGTATCTTTTCATATGCTGCTTGGCCATTTGTTCATCTTAATGTCTATTCAGGTCTGTTGCCCATTTAAAAAAATGGGTTATTTGATATTTTTAGAGTTCTAGGACTTTTTCATATGTCCTGGATACTAACCCCTCAGCAGATACATGATTTGCAAATATTTCCTTTCATTCCATAGGCTATGTTTGCAGCCGTTCCCCTGTTTTTTTAATGTACTGTAGTGAAGTTTGATATAGTCCCATTTGTGGTTTTTGTTTTGTTTTGTTGTGGTGGTGGTCGTCTGTTTTTGGGTATCACATCCAAGAAATCATTATCAAGTCCAGTGTTGTGACGATTTCCCTCTATGTTTTTTCCAGGAGTTTTATAGTTTTAGGTCTTTAATCCTCTTGTTCAGTCTTAGGCTGCCTGGTGTGTTCTTCCCATCATTCCTCTCTCTCTTTCTTTCTTTTCTCTCTCTCTCTCTCTCTCTCTCTCTCTCTCTCTCTCTCTCTCTCTCTTTCTCTCTCTCTCTCTTTCTTTCTTTCTTTCTGTATTAGGGATTATTATATCTTGGGCCTTTCAAGTGAGCCCCCTCCCACATTTCAAACTTGTGATCCTCCTGCCTCAGCCTCCCAAAGGATTTGATTACAGTTGTGAGCCACCACGCTCCAGCTTCCTGTCACTTTCTGGATTCTCTGTTCTTCTTACTCCTTTCCACACATGTCTACCTGCTGCTGCTTCTGCTCTGCTCCTTTCTGCCCCCATGTTTCAGCTCCCCTGTCTCAGAGCTCCCTGCCTCTCCCAGCCATCCCCAGGCTCACGGCCTCATTCTGAACTGTCCTTTCCTTCCTCCCTCTGCCCCTGGCAACCCCCCACCTGTCTCTTTTGCAGGCCTCAGACTGGACCCCTGACGATGGAATCCTGAAGTGGCCCTGACTTCCAGAGCTCAGTGGCAGACCCCACCAGCACCCCAGGCCCCTCCTGCCCCTCCCACAGCCAGCAGCCCCGCTCTGAGAGGGAGGGGTGGGGAGGGCATCCTGGTCTCACCCAGCAGGGCGCTTCCAACATGATGCTCAACTCTGACACCATGGAGCTGGACCTGCCTCCCAGCCACTCCGAGACCGAGTCGGGCTTCAGCGACTGTGGGGGTGGGGCAGGGCCCGAAGGCGCGGTGCCCGGTGGTCCCGGAGGAGGCGGCCTGGCACGGGGCTCGGAGCCAGGGGAGCCGGGCCGGAAAGACCTGCAGCATCTGAGCCGCGAGGAGCGGCGGCGACGGCGCAGGGCTACCGCCAAGTACCGCACGGCGCACGCCACGCGCGAGCGCATCCGCGTGGAGGCCTTCAACCTGGCCTTCGCCGAGCTGCGCAAGCTGCTGCCCACGCTGCCCCCTGACAAGAAGCTCTCTAAGATCGAGATCCTGCGCCTCGCCATCTGCTACATCTCCTACCTGAACCACGTGCTGGACGTCTGAGCCCAGCCCGCCCGCGCGCCCTTGCTGCGGGTTCCAAGCCAGCGCTCTGGGGGCGCTGCCTCTTCCACCCCCGCGCCCACGCTTTCAGAGACCCCAGCCCTGGACTCTGTCCGGTGCCGGGGTGGGGACGGACCATCAGAACCGGAAGGAGAGGAGGCTGGGGTCAGAGTAGGCAGTGGGCTCCTTCCTCCCCGATCTCCGGCTTTCTGAGCTCGGTTGTCCAGGCTCGGTGGAGGGTTGTGCTCTGGAGAGGCGGGCGGGGGCAGGGAGTGAAGAATCGCCTGCCAGGGGAATCTCAGCAGCTAGGAACTGTAGCAAAACTTTCTGTTTCACTCGTGTCCATCTTGTTCCTGCGGCTCCGCGCATGCAGCCCTCAGATGGACTTGGTAGTGAGTGCCTTGCCCTCTCTGAGCTTTTTGGTCACCTCCCTGACTCCTCCCAGCCCAGCTACCCCAGTGTCCTTCCTCCCTGTGTGATGTTAGAGCTTCCTTCTGGGGTAAGGAACGGCTTCAGCGCCAGACTATCTGCAGAGGGCCCAGGCCTCGGGTTGGGCGCAGTCTCACGCCTGCCTCCTCCATCCCAACTTCACGCTGGACGCGTGCTAGCTGAGCCTCGCAATGCCTCTCCTCTCTGGTGCAAGGAGGCTGCCCTGTGACTGCCCTCCAAACGCTCCATTCTCCTGGCCCGAGAGGCTGTTTATCACTTGTGTGCCTCCTTCCCCTAAGCTGCCACCCCAAGGGAAGAGATACCCCTACCCAGGGCGCTGAGCCCCCAGCTCACTGTAGGGGGCGGCAGCGCAAAGGAGGGGCTAGGAGGCTTCCTTACTGCATTCCTGTGCTCCCTCCGCCCTCACACCAAACTCCCAACTCCACAAGGATATTTATTTACGTATTTATGTATTTATTTATTCATCTATTTATTTATTTACTTATTTATTTATAAATATTACTATTTATTGCCGAGTTGTGCACTTTGGGGGTAGTCATGAGGGGTTCCCCGTGGCTCCAGTGGAACCTCTCTTGCTCCCTCCCTGGTTACTCCTTTCCTTTTCCACCCCCAGCGTGTGTTAGGATTTCCTTTGCTCACCACAGCTGTGGCCCTCCCTGTCTCAGCCTCCTAGTCCTCTGGAATAGCTGCTCCCAGCCTCAGCTCCAGGGCCCTTGGATTTCCTCTGTCAACTCCCTCCATCCCCTGACAATCCACCCGGTCCCGTCCATCTCTCTTCCCTCTCCTGCCTTCCCTGAGACCCTCGCCTCTTCCTAATACTTCCCAGAGCAGGCTCCCTTTGTCTGCATCCCGTGTCCCGTGTGCGAGTCCTTCCTGCTACATTTCACATAAAAAGAAAAATTAAAGTGACCTCGTTCTAGCACCAGATATGGCTGTGGCTCATTTGGTTTGGGTGGGAACCCAGCCTATAGGTTAGGGTAGTGTGAGCACGGAGGACCCTAGCTTTGAAAGCTTTCATTGAGGGCGGGAAGGTCATAAAAGTTCCGTGGGTCGATAAACAAAGATGGAGAGAAGGGGCCTCAAGCATAAAGGAGTCAGGGGAAGGTGTGACACGAAGGTCCCTGATCTCTCTTAGTGTCCCATATACCGCCTTGGCAGTCACTGAGTGACGCTTTCTGACTTTCCTGATGTGCCGTAGCTCCTTCCTACCCACCATGGGTCTGAGAAGGAGGTGAGTGTTCCAGGAGAACTCGTCTTCAAAGCGTGTGAGGGTCCATGCTTTGGAGAAAGCCGTGCGTGCAAGTGAGACGCTGCCTCCTTCCCTCATTTCCCTAGGCCAGCTCCGGATTCCTCGAGTCTCAGTTCTTGGTCTGCTTTGTGTCCCTAGCCTGAGAGTACTGGGGAGAATGTGACAGGGGACCTGGGACTAGGAGAGGAATGGGGTGGGGTAAAGAGTGCTGAGCAGACATCAAAGAGGTCCTGGAAAAGACCCTGAGTTCAGTTTCTGGCTAAGAAAATCAATTCCAGAGAAGGAAAGGGCTCCAACTCAGGATCTTGTGTGCATGTGGCCTCCAAAGTGACCCCGCCTAAAAGGTGGACCCCGCAGTTTAACAGGAACTAGTGAGGATTCAGAATTTGTATGAAAGGTCCAGAGACCACAACTTCCAGGAACACGTAGTTGAGAGAACAGAGGATATGTGTGTTGATAATAATAGATTCAGGGATAAGATGGCACCCATCTTCAGACCCCAAAAGAAAAAACCAAAACAGACCTCCTGAATGGCACCAGAAGGCGGAACCAGGGCAATTGGTGGAGGCTGTAGGATAGCAGATTTTACTCCCGGAAAAATCCAGCAACCCTGGAGCTGTCCAGCAATGGAAAGCCAGCCTCTGAAAAGAGGAATCCCAGTGTTGGGCTGGAGAACCCTCTGCCCGGAGACACCAGAGAACACTGGCCAGGCACACTTTAAGATCCTTTCCAAACTCTAGGTTGGAGGAGAAGGTGGAAGACAGTGGGAGGGAAAGCTGAGCTATCTTTCAGTCCCAAAAGGGTTTTCGTCATTTACTTCTTTACTTGGGTGCTGAGGATCGAACTCAGGATCTAACATGCTAGACAAGCACTCAACCACTGAACTATATCCCAGCCCTTCCTGAATTTTATTTTGGTAGAAGCCACTTTTGCAGGTGTGGGCGGGCAGCCTTGAGGTCTAGCCTCAGCCTCCTGAGTGCTGTAAATTTTATTTTGAGATAGGGTCTGCCTAAGTTGCCCAGGTTGGCCTCAAACTTGTGATCTCTTTGCCTCAGCTTCCCAAGTGCTACCATGCCTAGTTAGGGCTTTTTCCACCTTTTATGATCAAAGAGTGATGTCAGCAGCAAGAAGGGCATGAGTCAGATTTAGGGAGAAACTTCCACGCAGGAAAGAGTTGGTATCCTCTCCTCCCCATGTGAGTGAAATGCGAAGTGCTTTGCCCAGAGCCCAGATCTGGGGAATCTGAAGTCTGCAAAGGGCAGATTTGGAAGGAGTACAGGACTCAGGCTCCAATACCTTTGTTTAGAGGCAGGTGCACCCCTGTCCAGGGAGCTCATATGACTCAGGGAAGTGAGGCACTGGAGTTAAAGCTTAAGGGTCAGCTCCTGGTCCTGAAGGGCTTTGTGCCGAAGTACTTGCAGTGCTTGGAGCTGCAGCCTCCTGCTGGACTGCAGAGCAGAGGGGTTAGGGGCCCCGCCCCTCCGGGGTCCCTCAGGACCTGGGGGTGGGGAGCAGGGGCAGCTGCAGCTGTTCTACTGCTAGCTCTGAAAATTTCTTCAGATAATCAATTGGCCTCGGCTGCCGCTCCGCTGGGTAGGACCAGGACTGGGAAGGAGGTAGAGAGTGAGAGGAGAGGGAGGGAAGGGGACAGACGATGAGGAGACAGGAGTCAGGCAGGAAAAGACTGTTCTGTGGCCCTCACTTCACATCCTCAAACCCAGCTCTTGGGCCAGGGGCATGAGGAAGGCAGTCTGGGGCCCCAGGGAGTAAGACCCTGCTCTGTCCTTTCTTCCTCCCACACACAGCCCCTTCCCAAGGACTCAGCCTCTGTCCACACTCTGTCTACCTTGGGCTTCCCCTGGCCCTGACCTCCAGGCCAATTGCGCCTGCTCCCCGCTGCCCTCTATCTCACTCCCAGGGACAGAGCAGAAGGCGAGGCCTCAGGGGTTTAAGAGTGGAGGTCTTTAAACCACTCCCCCTTCCTACACACACACACACACACACACACACACACACACACACACACTGCCATTGTCACAAGCTGCCAGGCATATGGCCCCTTTGTGCCCACACAATGGAGGTCCTGTCTGTGCCCTTTCCCAGCCTGGGCACGGCGCAGGGTCTGCCTGCCTCTCTCTGTTCACTGTCTTCCCCTTCTCCGTCCCCAGCTAGTGCTGGCCTCTTTTTCTGTTTTTCCTCCTCTCTCCAGAAGGCCCCTCCTAGTATTCCTCTCTGTATCTTTTTGGCCTTTCTTGTGTTCCTCCCTGTGCTCTTGAACTGGACAGCTTGTGGAATGTGGTCAGAAGACAATAGTGGGAAGGAGGACAAAAATCTTAGGACTCTAGTGCAGGGAGATGAGGAGGAAGCAGAGTGCCTGTTTGAGGTTGAGAGTGGGGAGAAAGAGGTTAGAGGGAGAGAAAGCCCATACCGAGAAACCAGAGGACCTACATCCCAGCTCCACATTCATCCCACAATGAACAAACCATGTGCCCTCCCTAGGTGTCAACTTCCTTATCTGTGAAATGGGACCATAAGCCTTGCCCAGGGTGTTAGGAGGATTAAATGAGATTGTCATGAAGGTACTCAGCACCATAAGTGCTCATCAAGATCAAGTGATACTTTAAGGGCAGTAAGTAGCAGTCAACTTGTACTGTTGTGCAGATTGTGCGCTGTGCAAGGCCCCTGGCCAGGGCAATGGAAGGGCCTGACATCCATTCCCCCTTCCACTAGACCAGCAGGATGTGTGCATCTTTAGAGGAGTAGCCTGGTAATCAAGCTGCATGTGCGGGTTCCTGAGCACTGATCAGGAGTTCAAAAGAAAGCAAGGAGTCCTGATCCCCTTGGAAACCAAGATAAAGTGGGAGGCAAGAGGCTAAAGGGTCATCAGAGAGGGTGACCCCTGGGTCTCACCTTGGGAATAGGTGAGCTATGAGAACTACACTGAGGATGGAGAAATTGCAGCTGAGAACAGGGGGTGAAGAAACAGGAAAGGAGACCCTGTGAGGGAGGGCTTCAAGAGTCCTGCTGGTCTAAGGGATCTTTCTCTGATTTCTTTCTTTATTCCCTACATTAAGCAAATTTCTGTGAGCGCTGATATCTATTGTTGAACACTGCCCCCTGCTGGTCTCTAGCAGAGATGTTTTCATTCTTCCCTCTCCCTGGGTAGGGAGCTGTTAGGAACCTAGAAGAGAGGAAAAACCCACTAGACTGGGGTCAAAGATTAAAGGAGATGTGGTGGGACCTGCAGTCCAGAATCTGTTCTTAGAAGAGGTCTTTGGCAGGAGAGGGAGAACCGATTGCGGAGTAAGGACAGAGACTTAAATACAAAGGTATTTTATTTACATATGTAAATGGTCTATAACTTTCAGGTCAGTCCCTCCCCTCCGGACCCCCACCATTTGTGCCTCTCTCACTTGCTGTGCGTCTGTGTGGCTGTGTGTCTGGGGTTGCTTCCCTGCCTTTGTGGCTTTGCACATGCCCCATCTGTAAGCTTGTTTGTGTGCCTTTCTTTAGGTTGGAAGCTGGGTGACAGCTGTCAGGTAAAGAGTAAGGGTAGGACGCTGCCTAATTTCCTCTTCCCTAGGGCGCTTTCCTTCCCTCTGGGTTCTACCTCTGCTTTTCAACTCCATCAGCCACATGGCTCTTTACAGACTACATTATTTTTCCCCTGGCTCCCGCATCACCTGAGACATTTCAAGCTCAAAGGCTTGCTCCTCTCTCACCTGGACCCTTGGGCCTCCAAGTGAAGTGAGGGGTCTAGGAAGACTGAGATCACAGCCTCTCTGTCATCCACCTCACTTTCATCCTGCCTGACATTCAATCCCTCTGATACTGTGCAGCTACTTCCTTTATTGGTGGTTTCTATTTTATTCAGTGCAATGTTCATTTATTGAATAGCCAGTAGGCGCTATTCTGGTTCTGAAACACAGGCTTCAGAGCCCCTCACCCCGTCTGCTGTGAGGAGACAATCACATAAATGCATCAGAGTCCTGACAGTGGAAAGCACATGCGAGGGATAGAATCTGTGCACCTGCAAGGGATAGAATCTATGATGGACTCAGAGGGTGCTGATGACAGCGGTAGCCAGGAGAGACGTGAGCTGGGTCTTGAAGGCCAACAGGGCTTTGGCAGGTGCTGCAGAGGGCCTCCAGCATGGGTCTCCTCCTTCATGGACAGAGGTGCTTGCTTCCGCAGCTGCAGGAGTGCAGACAATAGCCATGTCCCTCTCTGGACTTTCCTTTGAGGGAGAACACTCCCTCCCTGGTGCAGTCTGCACTCAAGGACTGGTTGGTGTGGGTTATAAACCCCCTTCTAGGGACAACCATGAAGGGCTGTTCCAGTGTAAGGGTCCCTAGGGGACTGTTGCAGGCTTCCACAACCACTGCATTATTTTCAGCCTGTTCCTCTGCCTCATTCAGCTTCCCTCACACCTAATGCTGTTCCCAGGAGCATTCCTGAGAACACTCTGCTGCATGTAGTCAGTCAAAGAACCTGTGACCCAGGGACCCCTGCCCAAGACACTGACATCCATGTTAGACGTGGAGGCGAGGCACCGTGGAAAGGCTTGGTGAACAGTTTTGTGTTGTTGGAACAAAAATGCAGGGGATTGGGTGGGGGGACAGGAGAGGGATGGAGAGTGATCTGGGAAGGTGGATAGGTGCCAGGTCAGGAGAGCCAGGGTTTCTGCCTTGTGATAGAAAATCAAGGAACAATCTCTAGTAGGGTAGATGGTCACTGCCATCAGAAGACAGCACTGATAGGTTCTGTGCAGGGGACAGGTCAGCTGCCACAGGGAAGGGTGTATATGCAGGCAGTGGCACAGGAGATGAGGAAGAGACAACAGGTTTAGGGAAGCCATTTGAGGGGTAGGTCTCAGGATGGCGAAGGAGTAAATGTGACTGGGTTCCAAGGAGCTGCCAGGTTTCCAACAGGGGAGACTGGAGGAAGAGTGGTGCCACTTTCCAAAAACAGAGTCCTGAGAAGGAGAAGCTTTGTGGAAAACGGTGGTGGCGGTAGAGCAGGGGTGGGGTGGCAATGTGGTGGCACAACAAAGACAGGCCGAACAGGGGCTGTCCGAGAGCTTTCCCATGGAGCTTCCCAGAAGGAAATCGGCTCTTCGGGTTTACAGCTGAGGAGGTGGCTCTCTTCACTAAGCCTAGACTTCCCAACTTCACATGCATACCCTAAAGTGGCCGTGGAACCCGCCCCTCCTCAGTCTTCCTTCTCTGTTGGCACTGGCCACTTGGGCTGAAGTGCGCCAGCAGCGTTCAGTGGCTGGCTACTCTTCCTTTTACCCTCTGTTCCTGCCCCAGCCCACCATCTCACTAGTTCGTCCTTTTACCTCCTACCCAGGACTGGCATCCTCAGCAGTGCCACCCCTGCTTTCCTTCAGCTGGACTTGCCGCTGCCCAGCTGGCCCCCTGCCATGGGTGGCTCCCTCTTCATAAACTCAGCCTCCAGACCGCCATAGACTCACACAGCTGCAGTTCCAAACAGGACGTCTCTGTGCTGAATCCTTGTAATGGCTGCATGCCTGTAATCCCATCACCCCAGTTGAGGCACGAGGATCACAAGTTCAAGACCAGCCTCCGCACTCGTGAGACCTTGTCTCAAAAAAAAACCAAAAATCAAACAACAACAACAACAACAACAAAAAAACAAAATACAAAAGAGCTGGCGATGAAGCTCAGTATGAACCTAAGTCTCGGTTATTTTTCTCCTGATACCCGCAAGTTAAGGAGGAGGAAAGGTTTGTTTCAACTCACAGTATGTCGAGGTTTCAAGCCATAGTTGGCTGGCTCCAAGGCAGGGCGGCATGGCAGAGGGGCAGCACAGAGCGAACAGTCACTGTGGCAGGCCAGGCAGAAGGCAGCAGCCAGCAAGCAGGGGCAGTGGTGCCAGCAACAGTAGCAGAGCAGCCTCTTCCTGTCCCTTTATAGTTCACCAAGGCTGCAAATTTGTTAATTGGTGTCACCTACATCCTGTGGTGTCACCTACATCCTGTGGGGTGCCAGCATCACACCCTCACCCACATTCATACACCCTAACCCAGCCACCTTGGAAACTCCCTACTTGGGACTATTTGAGACTTTATGGGAACATCTAGATACAAGCCATTGTACCCTATGCCATAACAAACAAATTCCTTGTAATAGTTTCCCATGACTTCCAGAACAAAATCCACATTTATTTATTATTTTTAGACAGGATCTCACTATGCAGTTCTGGCTGGCCTTGAGCTCACTTTGTAGCCCAGGCTGGTCTCAGACTCCCAACAATCTTCCTGCCTCAGCCTCCTGAGTGCTAGAATTACAGGCATGTGCTACCACAACAAGCTTAATTTATTCTTGTCCTGGGGATTAAATCCAGGTCCTTCATGCCACATCCCCAGTTCTTTCTTTCTTTTAAAATTTGAGACAGGTTCCCACTAAAGTGCTAAATCACCCAGGATTATAGACATATGCTACCTCTCCTGGTTTAAAATCCGTGTTGTTCAACATGGCAAAGAAGCCGCTTTATGGCACAGCTCCCAGCAGTCTGTCCAGCCCTGCCTGTCATTCCATTGCTTTTACTTTATGCTTTAACAGTGCTCAGGGACTCAGAGCTCTGTGGCATGCGTGGTACACCTTGTTTTGTACGTCTTCGCCCTCATCAGTGTGGCTTCTCCTCCTGTGCTTCTCCTGTTCAGGTCCTAGTCAGCTTTCAAACAATGCTGACACCCTCACCTCCAGAACCTGCCAACGTGCGATGGCCCAAGCTCACCCCACCCCTCATCTTACTGTGCTCCTCACCTGTCTGTGCAGATCCAGGACTGAGCCCACCACAAGCAGTTTTTACTGAGATCATTTTTCTTTACCACACAGGTTTGCTTGTATCTCAAGGTGAGTTACTTAAAATCTCTGAGCGTGTGTTTTCTCATAAGAGATAAACACG